GGTGAATGCTGGACGTGAAGCTCAGGTTTCACCGTCTGGGCACCTCAGAAGACAGGTTTTTGGGGAACGGCCACATTTGAGTGTTGTTGATGCTATAGATTAGAACATGTTAGAACCGGAAGACCGTGCAATCCTGCTGGTTTATGATGTTTTGGCATGTTTTGGCTAAGGTATTTTTATCGTTTTTTCTTGCTCCTTCACGAAATGAGGCCCAATCCCTTGAATTTCGACCCTGTCAAGACTACTGCACTGGCCAGCGCCTCAAGCTGCAAGCTCCCTGTTGACGGGCGCCTCTCAAACGTCCAAAGCTGTTGGTCGCAAGGACCATCATTGCAGACCTCGATGCCATATGGCACTCGCCAATGTTTTCTTTAAGTTGTTCACTGTCCTTGGAGGCTGACATTCAGCTGAAGCCCATTAACGATGTCTCAAAGGCAAGCGACCGACCGGGTTCGGAAGGGTGAACCCGGAAGGCTGCGACGAGTCGAGACTCGTGAAGCCCAGGTGAATGCTGGACGTGATGCCCAGGTTTCACCGTGTCTCCACTCAGCTGCGGTGAACGAATCGGAGAATGGGAAGTAAAAATTCAGGAATGCATGTGTCAGTCTTTGATGTTGCATCGGATCAGTGCCTCGCACATTGCCATGACAAAGCTGTGGCAACTATGGCGAGTAGGCCTCCAACTGGATGGTTTTGGGACATGTTCAAAAAACCATCGAATCAAGCTATACGTGGTTTTTTAAAGAGCCTCACGGAAGTCTGAAGGAATTCGATCTGCGAAAAGTGTCCACAAACGACAGCTGTTTGCATGGCTTACAACGCAAACCTTTGAGCCTCCTCAGAATGCAGCTTCTCAGCGCAACAAGCCAAGGCCGAACCCTCCAAGCTTGGATCCTCGCGTGAGGACAGCTGGAGTGGCCTGGGTGCTGAGTCGCTGGTGAGCGATGCGTGGGTCGGGTCGGATGTGCAGAAGGGCAGCAGGACGTGGTTCGTGCTAGGGGGTACTCTGAGTTACAAAGCACCTCAAATGGTGGGGGGAGTCTCTGCCCCAGTTTGCGTTTGTTGTGTTTGATCGCTTACTCGGAATTGGCTTGAGAGAGCAGATACATGTAAACTAATTGGATCTAATTGGATGTTTTTGGAGGTTTTGGCAGATTTTGGCAACGCTATTTTTGACCCAGATGATCCTAGATGTATCGGTGAACAGAATAGACCTGGCGTTGCAAAAGGACGGCTCCAGGACTCCAGAATGCCAGATTTGAGGTGCAAGACAACTGCAACAGTAATCGATCCATGGCAAGATTTAATCCACTGAATAATCCCTTCGTTCAAGAAACATCGAAAGCAGATGACTGGAAGCAAGTCTTGTGTAAAGATGAATCAGGATTTCCGTGGTAAACCTGCTGAGGCAGACCTGCCAAAGCCCGATTGGCCAAAGGTGGGAGAGAAGGCGTTCTGCGCTGTTCGGCGCTCCTTCCTACGAAGGGTTCCTTGTTCGGTTGATTCATGTTGTCACAGCGAACTCGAGACATTGCAGGTGGTGCCTAGAGAAGGAATCGTTGGTTTTGATGCTGATGGAAGGTTTGACAGAAAACGATCGATAACGTGCGAGAATAGAAGAATTATATAGATCAACTGATCAAATCTCCGAAATCTCAAAAGATTTCAACACTGTTGTGTGTAATTACAATTGTTTGCTCCAAACTAAGTCATATGAATCGTTGGTATGTACTATGTGTACACATTTGGTGAGCTGACTACTCTTGGAGCAACCCTTTGAACCAGGACCAAAGATCTGTGGCTTTTGGTTTGACCAGCACAACATCCAAGAACAATTGAGTGCCACAAAGGCCAACTAAGGCCAACTTGCAGAAACTCTTGTCTATGCACTCGGGTGGTCAATCCAAATGTCGAAACTCTGAGACAATTGTCTTATTGTTTAGAGACCAGGAAATTCCAGCAGATGACATAGATGTCCCGGAACAATCAATACTGGTACAATATGTATGAATCTATCTTGATGAGTTCAGAGACGTTGGAACCCATCTGAATCCTGACTATCCTGATTGACAGTTTAAGGACGATATGTTAGGCAACCCATATGCCGATGGAGCGGTTGCAGCACGCAAGACTGACCATGAGCAGGTACATCATTATAGACTGCCAAGAGGGAAGAATATATACTTCGAGATGTATATATATACCTGGAACCCAACTGACCCCTGTTTTGATAGGAAAAGGCCATATTTTGGGTGGTTGGTGATCCAAAATAGGTGTCATTCAGGTTCTAGGTATGTATATATATATATAATGAGGTGTGAATCACTTTCGGATAACAAACCACTATCCATCTTTCGACCCCCTCGCACCAACAAGCACGGCCGCTGAACACCACACAAGCCTGGGAGCGTTCCACCATCGCACTGAAGCATGTATCACAACGATTTGTTTGCCCCTACTGTACTGTCATAGCTATGTGGTATTATGTGGTCATGGCATGTCTCTGCGGACTTCCCGCTTGGACGTCGCGTCCTCGTTCGTCTATTCCCCACAAACACATGGCCACATGGCAGTGAACACCCACCGAACCTGACATCGGACGACCAACTTGGAAAGATCACCTGGCAAACGCAAAACAAGTTGTCGTGGCCAATCGATGGTCCAACACAAACAGCGAGTTCGCGGTGGTCGAACTCGTGTTCCTTCGTGGCCAATCGATTCATCAGCCCCAACGATCGGGTCGCTCCAAGACTTGGATCGCAGAGTGGACAGGAGACCATTGGTCGAAGACCTTTGTCCCATCATCACGACGTTCCAAGGCAAAGCCACCAGAGCTACAATGTGGCAAAAGCCACTTCCATCCTTTTGCACCGTTCATTGTTCCATCATTTCTCCCATCTGGTGCGACGCTGTTACTCCTTTCACGTGGCACCTGAGCCTGAACCACGGTTTTGGCAAAGTCGGCGGCAAAGTCTTTTGTTCCGCCGGCAAACAAGAGAAGCGTCAAACACGATAGATAGTTTGGATGCAATCATCCCGCCACAACCATCACAGAATGCATGCAGCAACGATGAATTAGGTAACTTGCAGTAAGCGCACATCCTGCTGGCCTTTGGCCTGCGTTTTTTGTTAAACATTGTTCTGGCGTTTGACGTGTGAATTCAAGGCCCTTTTCTGCGGCAGCACAGAACGGTTTTGGCCACACCCTGATGGTTCTCGAAAGATGCTCTCTATGGTTCTCCGATTGATGCTCCAATGTTCTTTGATGGTTCTCTTGATGGTTCTCTTGTGTTCTCTCATGTTCTCAATTGATGCTCCGATTTCTTTTGTGTACAGCGGGTCTACACGATACCCCATGGACGCTGCGATCGGACCCATCGGTTCTCAGGCGGCACATGGTCCTGTCGACGCTTGGAGTGCCCTCAGTGGGGGCGCCTGGCAGCGGTTTTTTGCAGTTGACCCGTGGGGCCCGTTGAGTGCAACTCTTCGGGCTTTTGAGAATTGGAGTGTTCGGTTTCGACTCTAAATCTCAACATGAGGAGCTGATGAAGGATGAGAGGTTATCATGTAGTTTTCGTGCAACTTTCAAGACCGTCCCACATGACCGGGGTAGGCTAGAAAGGGAGTTCTTGCCATGATGCATAGCTACTAGATATGGCTGCCAAACTACCTTGTGACTGCTAGCCTGGCAGTAGCAGTCGAAAATGGACCCCACTATCAGGAATCAATCTTGTTTAAACATGTCATTAACCACAGTGGCCAGGACTGAGTGCAAGTGTTTCTCTTTGATTCCCTTTGTCCTATATGGTTTTATCCAAGTTACATGTCAAGACACGCATCCCTCAACTCGCCGTGTTCTGGCCCTAACATGGCATGCGACATGCTGAAATTCGATGTGAGATGATTTGTGGGTTTAGCAACCTGATAGCGTGTCATTTTGGATTTCCACTACCAGCCTGTCATCAGGTGCTTCTGTTCGCCATGGCGATTGTTCGTCGTTCGCATCCCTCTTTCGTGGCAGGATGCCAAGAGTGGAGTCAGATAATGTTGGATTAGGCAGATAAAGTTCTCCTCAATGAGAATCCCAGAAACTCAGGCCAAGAGAGCGCCCTTGTCAGACGGCTTCCCTTTGTAACATGTTGCCTTGTGCCCTTGCATGCCTAGAAGGATCTCCCTCTTCGTGTCGGTGTAACGATCTGCCATACTGTGGAGCAATGCACCAAGCAGTTTACAGCAATCAAGGCAGATAGGCGAATCAGATGGACGACAGGCAGTCTATGGCAGTCTTCAATTCTTCCTGCACCGCGAATTTGTTGACAGAAATAGATGGAAATACAGCAGATGGAAATACTGTTTGTTGATGGAACACTTCATTCTCCCAACCCCTACCAAGGACGGCAGCTTGTAGGTGGTCCGATTCTGAGCCACTTTTGGGGCGGTTCTTATCGGTTTGGCTCGCTTTAGAGGTTGGGCTCCTTGGTCTTTGCGGACTCCGGTTTGTGAGGTGGAAATAGGTTGTGGAAATAGGCTGTGAAGAGACCATTGAAGCTGTGCATGTGACCAATACACTTGGATCTGCCAATCGCCTGTCAGTTGCCATTTGAGCACAGCTAGGTGGCTGAGCACATAAGATGTAGCCAGTAACTGTAAGGAGAAAGGCTGGAAGATGCTGGAAGACTTGTACAACAATAAGGTACCCGAGTCAAGATAGATGTCAGATAGTGGGAGTATCTCTCAGGCACCGTATTCATCCGTATTCTATTTAAAGTGCGGAAGTCAGACTCACGCTCTCGGCATCAACACCTTTACGATTTGTAGGAGAGCATAGGAGACTCCCAAGATATAGATTGCTCCACCTGTTGCCACGTCATGTTGGTCATCCTCACATTATCAAGGAGAATGGATATCCCTAGCTTCACAATTATTAAGCTAGTAGAAACAAGTGCCACGCTAGTAGTAACAGGTGCCTTACTAGTAGTAACAAGAAGCTATTATAGAATTTGAAGGGTCCCAGTGCCGCGGAGGATCAGCGATGACAAACGATGCCACCGATGGTTCGGTTGCTGTGAAGCCTCGAAAGAAGCGCAAGCTTTCGAAGGATGTGACGAAGAACAAGGAATTTGCGGGTTCCAACTTGCCCCAGGCCAGTGTCTTGATGGCCTGAAAATCCAGTTCTTAGATGCTAGAAATCCGCTATACACCCTTCAGCTGAGTTAAAGATAATGATATTGAGGATTGTGACTTGGTGAATAGGGACGTACCAACTGTAAACTGGAATGGACCCCTGATAGGAAGGAGCCCAGAAGCGCAGGAGACTGAAGACCGCGGCTGGGCCCAACGCGGCTCGGTCGAACAGACCCGAGAGCGGTGAAGCCACCGCCAAGGCCTTCCGGAGCCAGCACGCGATTTCAGTCCGGGGAACTTGCCCAGCTCCTGCGGGAAGCTTCCAGCAAGCCAGAAGCTGCTTGGGGGATGATCTGGTGAAAGGGATGGAGGAGCAGGGATATAGTGCACCCACTCCCATACAAGCACAAGCATGGCCCATTGCAGTACGTGGTCATGATCTGGTTGCAGTGGCCAAGACCGGAAGTGGAAAGACCTGTGGCTACCTACTCCCTGCTTTGGCCCTCATTGCTAAACGAGGCCCGACCCAAAGCCTCCAGCACAAGAAAGGTCTAGATCAACGACCGCCGGCCCAACCCAGCTGCTTGATCATGGCTCCAACCCGAGAGTTGGTCCAACAGATCGGCAAAGAGGCCAAGAAATTCGCGGGCATTGTGGGCGCCCGCGTTCTGGGCATTTTTGGAGGTGTACCCAAAGGCCCGCAGGTCTCTGCTTTGCGCGCTGGCATCGACATGCTGGTGGCGACACCTGGTCGTTTGCGCGATTTTATGACAGGGGACCAGTCCAAGGCCCCAGTCGTGTTGGTGGATTCTGTCACCTTCCTCGTTTTGGATGAGGCCAGGCCATGAACATAATGTCCACAGGGAGTTGAGTGATCCGTTCCAACTAACTATTGAACCAAATCACTTAAAACAAAGACAGTTGGGTTGATACCCTATCATGATACCAGACAACATCCCCCCAGTTTTTCGCCCGAAGGTCCATCACTTGGTCCGCCCTCCTGCGAGGCTGATCGGATGTTGGACATGGGCTTTGAACCCGAGATTCGGCAGATCATTGCCCAGTGCCCCGCTGCCGGCTCAGCGCAAGAGACGTTAAGCGGGGAGGCACGACAGACGCTCTTCTTCACCGCCACATGGCCTCCGGATGTGCAACGGAGCGCACTGCACTTCACTCATCATGCTCTTCGAGTTGAAGTGGGACAGTCCAGTGGGAAGGGCGGTGGTGGTGGCCTTGCGACCAACACCAGTATCAAGCAGACAGTGAAGCTGGTGAAGGAGGAGGAGAAGTTGATGGTTTTGAAGCAGGCCGAGCTTGTGTTGAAATTTTTACAGGGTTTGCTCATGTTTGCTTCTTATCCAATGTTCCAAGGGTATTATTATTATCTCCATATCTCCCAACATGACATGCCTCTTCTACGTCATCCTTGGGTGTTGGGCGACCTCGGTTCACACCCTGCAGGTCATCCGCTCAGACCTGAAGCCCGGGGAGACTTGCATGGTCTTTACAGGTCGCAAGCAGACCTGCGATGCTCTAGAGAAGGAGCAGAGTTGTCCTCAAAGGATAGAGGCAACATGAGACTAACATGTTGCAAGCCTAGCCCCCCTCCACGCAGCACTCGAGACACTCTTCAGTGGTGCATCGACTCGGTGGGAATCCACATCGACTGGGTGCATCTTCTTTTCGGGTGTCAGAAGTGGGAAAGCCCCCCAAACAAGCCATGGACATCCATGGACAAGATGTTGAGTATCACTCTGAATTCTGCCCCCCGCTGGCATTTTTGACGAGAGTTTCCAGATAGGTAAGATGCATTAATTATACATTTTGATCTTGACGGAACATAATTCTGCGGTGAACTCCTATTAACATCAGTCAAGAGCCCCACCCCTCGCTTCCATCCTCCACCTGCCAGGAGCTTACTTGGGATCCCATGCGACCGGAGGCACCGATTTGCGCCTGGTGTCGAGCCCTGCATGGTGACAAGGAGTCCCAGACATGTTGTGCCCTCCCAAATTTTACATCAGACGAGACAGAAGTCACATGCTTGTCGTCAAAGTCTTTCAAAGCGGACGTAACAACAGTCCCCCAGCTTGTTACGCATTTTGTTGAATCATTGACCACTGAGCATGATGCTTGCCGTTCCAATGTGCTGTGACCGTTGAGCTCAAATTCTTAGGACTAGGTTTATTGTTATTTTTGGCCATCATGGTCGGCCGCCATGTGACCCTTGCCCTGGCCTCCCTGGCCTTAGCCTGGCGCTGGTGGCCTAGCTTTGTGAGCTCACCTCAACTTCGGAGTTCCAGTTCCACCAGGTCCACCCGATCTGCCCGGTGGGCGACGCTGAGCAACCCCAACTTCTTCTGGGGCGAGGGCTTTGAGGCCACCGACCTGGAGCAAGCGGCTGCGCGGCTGGCCGAAGGCACGGGCAGCGACTTGTGGAACAAGGCCACGTTCGCGCCGGAGGACCCACCGAGCCACTTGCCGGAGGGATCCAAGTGGACACCCTTGCCTAAGGAACAACGCTGGATGAGTTTGAAGGAGTTTAGTGAAGCCCAGGGTAGCAGTGGCAATGTCACAGAGGCGCTCTTTCTGGTGCTTTCTCAAGGTTCAGGTTACTTGGAGAAACCAAAAGTGGATAAGGCCTTAGAGTCCTGGCAATCACCAGATGGCAGCCTCAATCAAATGGGCTGGGCTTCATCCCTCTTTTGGGCTAAAGCACAGATTGCATTTGGCTATGCTTGGTTGTATGGCATGTCTAGCTTCTGCGGATACTTCTTTTTCTTTCGTCCGCCCTTGGTCATTTTTTTGGGCATCGACCTCCTGCCCGGCGTCCCACAATGGTGGACCTCATAGGCGTTCACTTCGTCCACACGCGTCGTTCCGGTGAGCTCATCGTTCCGGGTGAAACCCGGCGACGCATCGATTGCCCGACGGCACCTCTGCAATGAGAAAAGATCTCGGTGGTCACAAGTCCCTTAAGGTGCAATCATATGAACAGAAGTGCAACTTGGACACAAGGATCTTTGTCTATATACAGTATTGTACTGTACAGTCAATATATTAATCATTATATTATAGACGATAGAGAACTTGAAGGTTACAAGGATCTCGAGATCTGTGACACCCTTCGATCCGACCATCCCTGTTTTGAGAGTCTTCGGCACAAGAAAGCTCTCGTTGTTCGGAGGCTTATGATTCTTAGAGGGTCACCCTGGTGCTGGTCTCCAGGAGCAAAAAGATCGTCACAAAGCTCTTGCAGCCTTCCGTTCTGAACTCAAATCTCCGCAGTCACAGGTCCTGCTGACAGGCTCCCAAACAGATAATGAGGTTATTTGGGACATCTTGAGGTTCTATGCTTTGTGCATTTCTAGTACAGGTTCTGGTTCAGTAGGGAGCTTAAAATTCAAACATATGTAGACGGTTGAAGCTGGATGACACCTCCAACCTATCTTTCGAGCAGCAAGGTGCCATCACAGAGAACCCGCGCAAGGGTCAGAAAGGCGCCAAGCCGGCTCTGTGTGCTTTGCTGCGCTCACGCCATCCAGACGGTCACCATGTGCGCGTCGTCAACACGGACGCCGCAAGGCGTCTTAATCGCCACCGACGTCGCAGCGCGGGGACTCGATATCCCTGGAGTGGCCCTTGTGGTACGCCTCTCAAGTGTTGCCAGGCGTTGCAGGATGTTGCAGGTGATGTGATTTCGGATGATTTCGGGGAGTGTTTGTTGGTTCGGACCCTGCCTAGTTTGCCTAGAGTAAATTGTTAGACTCACGAAAAGAAGTGAAACCAGGGACATGGCATGGCGAGTGATGCCTGATTTCATGGCACGAAATGTCTTTAGCCAGGTGATCTTTGACTATGCCGAATCCTGCACAGCCCAGGCCTCGACGGACATTCCAGAAGACCCTCAAGTAGCACCAAGTATCATAGAACCTCAGCCAGACATCGAGTCTGATGTCGTAGCTATCCTGTATGCCCCAAGTATCATGGTGTTGAACACTGTAGTCAGTGACTGTTTCCTCACTTTCCCTTCACTTATATTATGATATTGTATATAGTGGGGTCACAATATATACAGCATGTCAAGCATTGTCATTTTCGAGTGTCGAGTTGACCCTGGAGCGGGTTTCACTCTGAGGTTGGGCAGTATTATCAAAACTTTCAACAACACTCAGATGCGGATGTAATGCAGTTGTTTATTTATCCAGGATTCCCAATCATTTGCAGTTGCACATGCTTCCTGTTGGAACCCATGACCGCCATCCCAAACTCAAGTCTTGGAATCTTGGAAGATGCAGGGCAAGCAGGACTGCTTTGCTTCATAACTTCAACATAACAGGAGGCCGCTGAGACCTACATCCACCGGATTGGACGCACGGGCCGGGCGGGCAAGGCGCGGCGGGACAGTTGGGATTTCACCCAGAGAATTCTGGAGTGTACTCAATGCGGATGGTGAATACTTAAGTTTGGGCCTCTTTGTGGGGTGCTTATTCTTTTTTGATCTTTTTTGAATAGGAATAGAATTTGCAGTATCACTATCATCACACGGCCAGGAGGGGCGCGCGATCACCTTCTTCACCCCAGCCAAGGCCGATATCTTTTCACCGTAGCGATGTCTGGACCGCGCTTCCGTTCGTCCACGGTGCTCGGCTCGCAGGATGTCGGAGCCAAGAAGTTGGTCGAGCTCTTACGAGCCGCTGGCCAGGCGGGAGCTGAGTCAAAGCTGTGTAGAATGGTTGGTGCTTGGCATGGAACGGATGGTGACGCAGGGGGGGCTTTAGCAACAAGATGCTGCTCCGTCCGCGACATAAACATTGTTGGACGCTGGCTCTTTTACTTGCATGAAATTGAGCTAATATGTTTTTGTTTTTGTGTGACAAAGGTGTCTATGTTCTTTTTTGCATCTTTGGACTTCACGAACCACCGAAATCTTTTCGCTTTCAGAACCACCCTAGAATCTTCCAACTTCAGACCTGTGCAGGCCGTTTCCTCTCAACTGGAGAGGCTTTCTTCGGCTGAAGCAGACGAGGTGCAAAGCTCGACGCGACGAGTTTCTGGCCCCGGGCATTTCTGGTCGGCAGGTGCCAGTCTTTGATTTACTATAACGGGGTTTCAGGGTAGCTGTTATAGTCCTTTTTTGTCCTGGTATGTCCTAGTGGTGTTAAAGTTATAGTGATGGGATGCGTTGCTTTTCCTTGCTTTATTTTTTAAAACATGTTTGACCACTGAACTCACGGGAACGGGCAGAGCCCATGGCCGGGCAGCCACGGGCGTGGGAACGCGGGAACGCTGCAGGTTCATGAGCCCAGAAGATCCAAAGCAGCTCCCAAGGGCAAAGGTGGGACTTTCCAGTATTTGAGTACACTTTCTTCCGTGAACCAGTGTCAAAAGCCAATCAGGCAAGCACCATACACCATGGTGTGTGTGTGTTCTCCCTTTTTTGTTAAAGCCTGGAGCTCTTTCTACATTCTACACTGGTCTTCTCCAAAACCCAGTTGTAAGTGGTTCTTTTTTGCGATGATTCAGCTCTGAGGCCGTGGGAAGGGGAAGGCCAAAAGCAAAAGTGAGATGCCAAAGAGCCGCCGTGGTAAGAAGCCAAAAAGAACATGCGTCCTTCGCACCGGGGGGGTGCCCATATGACTCGTACGACGAGGGTCCTGAATTGTACGGTGGTGATGGGCACGGAGTCCGGCCGAACATGAGAACGGTAGAGTATGTCTCGTGTAGGAAAAGGGTACTTCACATCCGTCAGGAACACCAACAGTTAAGTTTCCCCTAAACATCTAGGAAACAAATCATTAGTGCGAGCTCTTCTTCAAGAAAGCTCCCCCCGCCGCCCGGCAGGGGCAGCCTCCTTACTAGAAGCGCACTTAAGCTACTAGCTACCTCTTCCTCCATCCGCGACCTACCTCCCCCCGGGGCTAAAAGAAAAAACTATGCCTAAGCCAACACTTGGGACCTCTTGAAACATAAGCTTGAAGCAGGATACATGTTTGGACGTAACATCCCTCAGGTAGAATCCTCAACTCAACCTGTCACTTTTGCTTTGCATACATTCATATCATTAAGCTGGGCAAGGATCTTGCTGTGATCCTCATGCTGGCACGGTTGGACATGGTTCCTGGTGTAGACTTGTGACCCTCTTGAGTAGCCCTTGGCCAGTAGACTAGATGAAGCAGGCGCGGTCTTGGGCCCTCAAGGAGGAATGGTACGTAGTGATAGAGTGATAGCACGTGGCCGCTTGCGCAACACGCTGAATAAACGGATGGGGATGATGGGGTGCGTCGCTCAGTCACTTCCTTTGCTTCCTTGGGAGCCGACTTCTAAGGTTCTCCACCGGAGACAAACTCAGAAGGATGCAGGGCGCGAAGGACTGGACCTCAGAGGTTTGCAATGAGCTGGTAGTGCTTGAGGGCTTTTCAGGTCATCAAGAGCTGCAAGGTTTGGCTTCTGCCCTGAGTTTTGCTTTGACCCTTTTTTTTGTGGGGGGAGTGAAACAATTGTACCCAGCTCAAAGCTTATTCCGATTGGCTTCCCACCATCGCCACCTTCGCTGGGGAAACGATCTGAAGCGGTGCTCGGCGCCCCGATGTCGTCGTCACCTTCTCAGGATGTTTTCTGAGAGATGTGAGCCACATCCACTAAGTGGATTGGGCTGTCGATCGATCATACCTACCGTAGCCATTCAGTAGGTCGCGCTGTTTCCAACAGCACAGCAACGCTTTGGTCTCACCAATGCGCGCTTTTCAAGCATCATCTTGATGAGACTTGCTGACCTCGGCTCTGGTTGTGAAGGTGTCATGGCGCAGAACTGCGGTAAGTTCACACCGTTGTTGTTTTTTGCATGATCCAGAGCCGAAGATGAATGCCCGTAATGGATCTGTACATCTTCTCCGAGAATTCGTGACCAACAGTTGCTAGAAAACCAGGACAATTTAGACTGGTCATTGCACTTGAGCTGATGGTATTTGGTATCTTTTCTCAGCCTCAGCCCCCATAGTTCCTGGAAGTCTTTAACAATGCTTGATGCTGCCAGATTTGTTTTTAGGTGAAGTGAAGGATACTGGAAGTTGTAATTATCTCTGAAAGGGTACGGCTGTTGGAGACCACCGCTGCACAGCATTGCAGATCACCACGACAGAACAGGCAGTGTCCATGTTGAAGTCTCGAACCGAAATGCACCCGGAGATGGTTTCATTATATGTTTCATGACTCTCTATATGACAGTAACATAGTTTTCTATCTTCAAGGTGGGCTTACCCAGCTTGACCTTGCCAGCCATGGCAGAGGCACTGACGAGACCCGTGCCTTTGATTGGTCGTCGTGATATGAGATCGACGTCGGCGGGTGAGACGACCACGACCGCATGTTCTGCTCGGTGATCACCGTGTGATCACTGTGGCGACCTGTTCTGGCAGCGAAGCCGAGAGGTGAGACATGGATCGACCGTGGAGGCAGCCTCAGGTGACTGACGCGACTGACGTCCTGCGAGCTTTGGGGGTGAAACCTGGAGAGTGGTTTTGGTCGTAGCATGTGACCGTTGTGTTGAACGTTGGCTCGAGCAACATGCCGACGAGCATGCCGACTTGGAGCTGCATGGTGCAGAGTCTCGATATAAGCCATGTTGAGCAGTGGAGGACAACATGATCGACGAGACGACACGGAGCAAATCGCATTGGGAATGAATTGTTTGATGGCTGGGATTGGAGAGCTTGCTTTGGGCTTGAATGAAAGCGGATAACATCAAGCAAAATTTTACATACCCAAGAGGTCGTCACTTGCCTTTCTTGTTTGCGCTTTCTTTTTCTGGTCATTTCTCCACCTGGCACCTGCTGTGTGGTGTGCTGCGTTTGCACCAGTTTGGTCATGGAGTCTTCTTTGCCGAGGTGAGTTGCATCTGTTTCAGCCGTGTCTGGCCGCCCACGCGCGAGCCGGCGAGACCCGGCGGGCGCGACTGGGCTTGTGCCTCGAAGCGCCGGAGCACACCGTGGAGGACGTCTCCTCGCAAAAGGGTTTGCTGAACCCACCCCAAAGCCACTCATTCGTTTGGTGTTAGAGAGGTCGGGTATCATTCTTGTCTTCTCGAATCAGGGCGAAGATAGCGAAGTGAAACCAATAGATGAGCTTTGAACTCTTTGGTGGGTCCGCATTCTTTATCATTCTTTAGTACATTTTAGTACACTCAGCTCACTTGCTCTTGATATGGACTTCAGAAGAGAAGTGCTTCAGGGCCTCTTCCACTGGGCCAATTTGGCCAATGGGCAGCCCAGCCGTATGAACACGGAATCCTGCAAGTGTTCCTTTTCGGGCCGGCAAGATATACTTAGTGTGTGTGCTGTGTGCTACGGTGCTACGATGTTCTGAGATATGTTGGTTTTACTTTCCGTTTGTGCCCTCTTATGCTTCCTGCTATGGAGTTTGGATGAGAATCTTCGCACGGCAAACACCCATAAGTGTTGAACCTGTAAATCTTCAGGTTTCAGACGGGTGTTGTTTCCTGCTGTAGCTTCGTGCTGGCCTTCCGCGGGGCTGTTGGTGTCTTGGGCGTGCCGGCCCCCGTGATGGGGACTTTGGACTGCTTGGAGGCAGCTCGGTCCGAAGTAGGTCACTCTTGAGCGCTATCGGGACCCCTTCACAGATGGTTGTGAAAAAGAATCTGGCCTCAAGGAGCCTGTTCTGGCCGTTTTTTTTCTGCGGTTCGAAGGTTTAAACAGTGTGCGCACAGTGTATATAATTAGGAGCATCTCGCACCCTTCCAAATGTCTTCACTGTTGGTTATTCTCCAGGTGATCAATTGGCGGGGAATGTTTCAAATGCTCAAACCACTTTTGCGGGTGCAGATTTCCTGACAAATGGGAGACGGAGGGTAGCCATGTCGCCTTCTATCAAGAAATCATCTAAGGTATGTATGTAAGGCATACAGTATTTGATCATAACATTTGTCAAACTTTGTCAAGGCTTTTGATTGTCAGGTCTTGTGGACAAGAAAGAAGCTCAGTCCGAGTCAGTCCAAATGGGATACTCTTGTCGAGTTCTAGCATGTTCCATCTCCAGAATCTTGAAGTGCAGGGTTAAGTAGCACGCCTGGCAGTTCTTTGGACAATCCAATACCCAGACCTGTGTGTATGACTCCTATTTGGTCATGTCCTTCCTGCTGGCCCGAGCTTCCGCTGGTGGCACGCTCCCCTGGAACGGACCATGTCGACGGAACATCCCCCTGTCGACCCCAACAGGACTTGAGAATTGGAAGGTGATCCGACATGCCAAGACCAATCACTTCTGTACCACTTCTGAGACTTGGGGAGCAATCAGGTTCTGCTGTTTTCGAGGTTCTCGGCCTTTTGAGAACACGTGGGAACAGAGGAGTGTTCATGTCAGACGGACTACGAGGTGTGAGGCTGCCTCAAGAAAGCATGCAATCCGGCACTGGACTGTAGACCAGGCTGATTCTGGGGTGGTATTGACCCCCAACACCAGGTTTTCTGTCTAGCGGGGTTCTCTGAGCCCTGCTCAGGAGATCTTCACACCTCGTGAGGCCGGAGTTCACTCCCAGCACCGGTCCTGCAACTTGGCGAACAGAAGGGATCCCAGCTGCAGAGCATCAACAATATAGATGATAATAGATAAGGTGAACGTCCAACTGTCCAAAAGCGGAGGATGATGAGCTCAATAATTACGCTTCCATGTCCATTTCATCTCGGGACCTGCAGAGCATGACATACTTTTTCAGTCTGAAGGCCAAACACCGCTCAACCCAGTCTGGAGGCCACGACCTGCGCGCGCGTTTCAACGCGGAAAGCCACTGACCAGTGAGGCACCCGGTTACGGCGGGTCCGCATCTGGGAAGATCGGACTCTGAGAGCAGTGCGATCGCACCTGCAGCTGTAGCACTGTAGCGATGAGGAAGATGTCCAGGCCTTCCAGTGGGAGCACTTGACATATATTTTATGTAAATATAGCTTTGCTGGAAGACCACTTTAAGATCATTCTTTTGTGTTCTTCCTGTAAAAAGTTTTCATCCTAACCAGGGTTCAGGATTGTAACCAGGGTTCAGGGTTTTTAGCTCTAATATATTATTATGTTGTTGTTATTGTTGTCGTGTTTGTTGTTTGCTGTTGTTGCTGGTGCTATGGCTATGCTCACATTATCGGTCAGTGTTCTATCAATGCTCTTGTTCAGTCAGTCCATCAGCCCACACTGCACTCCCTTGTCGAGCTCAACTTTTTGCACTCTCACTGCTGCCCGGTATCTCATGTCCATCCTATTGCCCTATGTGTGGTCTTCTGGAGCCTCCACCAAAGCATCCTCTTCCTGCAACTCTTCTTCCTCTCCTTCCTCCGGCTCACACATCTTGCCGGCGGTGAAGCTGATCAAATACGCCACAACAGTCAGGTGTTGATTGTACAGTGAGGCAAAGCTCCCTCAGAAGCAAGTGGTGAAAAATGTGCTTTTGCGTTGCATGCTTCAGCTGTTTTTGTCTGATGTACACCAAGACATCATTTGTGCCAGTGAATTATTTGAGCCTGTGGCCGGTGCTGTTGTGCTCGAGCATCAAAGCGCTGCCTGCCAACATATCCCCAGGTATGACTCCCAGACGGGCAGATGCTTGCTTTCTTTGATGTTCCGCCTTTTCTGCTCTGTCCAGTAGGGCACCCGAATCCACCTTGCTTGGCCAAGCAAGTCGATGCAGTGA